ATGGGGAAATGGGCCGCAGGGCTGGAAATGGGCGGAGGGCCATCTCCTCTGCCCCCGCCTTTGGGTGCTGTCCCGGCCTGCAGCCTGGGAGATGCGTCTTCCACCTCCTTGGGGCGGGTGGAGGCGTGCGAGGCCTTTCTGCCCAGCCAAGGTGGCGGGGGGCAGGGGCTGGGGGGGGCTCCCTTCGTCCCCTCGGAGGAGCTGGGGCAAGTCCCCGGACCGGGGCCGGCGGGAGCGTGCGGTGTTCTGAGAGGCTAGGGGAGGAGGATTTATGGACGACGTTGGCGACAGATGCCGGATATGTTGTTGCCTGTCTGACGGAAGGACGTCCGTGCGTCCCCTGGGTCTTTTTCCGGTGAGGGCGGGGCTTTGGGGGGCAGGCCGACCCCGTCCTCGCGTTTTGTTGCACCGCGGTGTCATGGGTCGCCTGGGTGAGTCGCGCCGGTTGTCGTCAGTCATGCTGCGTCTCCTGTTCCCGCTGGCCGTCTTGGTGGCCGTGTTCCGTGCGGCGGTAAGTCCCCTCGGTGCTTCCTCTTCTAAGGTACCCTGCTTCGCTGCGGTACTGCCTGGAGGGGCTCTGGTTGTCGGCCCCGTGGCTGTTGGGGATGGCTCCGAGCTCTGAGGGATGCGGGGTCCGCCGGCCTCAACGGCCCCCGGCTGGGAGGGGGTGTTTTTCCTCCCCAGGAGGAAGACGATTAATGTCGTTCCGTTTTTAATACGTTAGTGGTGTGTGGTTCCTGGGGGTTGGGGCGCGTTGTATTAGTCGCGGGGCTGCGCCTGGCCGAGTGGAGCTGCTGGGGCAGGTGCGGCGAATGGGTGGGGGGGCGGCTCCTTCTGCCCAGCAGGCCTGCCCGCTCCCGGCCGCGGCGGCCGCCGCGCTCTGCGCCCTAGGTGTTTGGTACTGGGGAGGGGGTGGCCGTGCCCGCCCTCGCCCTCCGGGCGGTGAGCGCTGCCGCCGGCTTGAGGGGGGTGATCGCCGGGTCGCTGCCCGCTGAACCTGCGGGCCGAAGAGGTGGTGGCAGCTGTCTGCCTTCCAGCCTTCAGACCGCGGTCTGAGAAAGAATAGATTTCGAGGCCTTATTAAGGAACGCATGGCGGGGGGAACCCGAGCTGTGGTTACCTGATACCTACACACCATTAGCAGATCCCATGGGAGAACTTGATCTTCCTGTGGTGAGGGGGAGTTTTTCCTGTTCTACCCCGGTTCAGCATCGACTCTCTTGTTGTTACTTTGTCCAGTGGGACGCCATACCACTGCCTAACCAGGTGCCTAGGCAAATCCTTCCTCTTTACAATTGCTGTGGGAGCCACGCCTTGTCCCTAATGCCTGGAGTTTGAAGCAGAGTATAGGTATTATCTTGATAGATGTTGCTAATTGAATGATGCACAGGTGGTTAAAGCTGTGTGAAAAGTAGCACGGTCTCATGGGAGACCTTTATCAATGGGAAGATTGGATGGCAGTAAGTATGGTCTGTGAGGGGCGGGATTATGGCTGAGACTTTGAAAATTCTTAAGGTGGTGGGTAAAAGGAATGGAGAACCAGTACTCACCAAATTTAGTAGTACTAGAAGAGGGACACTTGGTGGATTTTATAGATTAGTTTGAAACAGATAAATTACTTGAAAAATACTTAGTGAATTTCAGGAATTTGCTGCTACGGGAGGTTGTAGAAGCGGACATTGTATTTAGCTGATTCCAAAAAAGGATTAGACCAATTAAAATACATCAGGTTCATAAACAACATCCAAAAATAACTAGGCATGGATTTGCTTTCTGACATCCCTGATGTAGCAGTTTTGTCAGGTGGAGGAGTATGAGGGGAGTAGACCACAGACAGTGGCCAGGGTTATGTCATTTCTTTAAACAGCATTTCGTATTGCTGTTGTCTAGACAGAATATGACCTGGTATCTAGAGGAACTGTGGACTCGAACTAGGAGGACATTTCTTGTGCTTTTATCTTCCTAGCTTTGTTTATTTTCTGTAGAGGCATGTGTGTAAAATAGCACTGTTTTTTAAGAATAGTTTTGTAACAGCTGAGAGCGCTTGAGGAACTGAGGCCAGCAGGCACGATTTCTCTATCAGCTGACTGTTCCCTGACCAAGCAATGAGGGAAGGGGTTTTTTTATAACTTGGTCTCATCCTCAAAATATAGCAGGGTCCTATCATCGCAGAGGTGCTAATGTTCTTTTAAATTAGCTTGGGAAAGTGTATCCTGCAGATAAGCAACCTGGCAGACTCAGGTTCATAAACTTCTGGGCTCAAGCTCAGAGCAGAGCCCTACAAGGCTGTTTTTGTGCCCTAGTTCTGAGATATTTTTGGTTGTAATGATTGCTTACTTTTTCTCTAGTTAAGTGCGGACTGAGAGGAAGTGTTTTGAAAGTAGGTGTATTCTGCTGCATGGCTTTAAATAAGGTAGTTTGTTATCTCAAACTTGGTCTCTATTGTATGTTACGAAAGACCATCCAAACTTATCTATGGTGAAAATAAAACAGTAGGTTTATTTTAAATAGAAATGTGCAAACTGGGCATTGGTAGAAACACTGTGAACTCTGAGCAAAGTACAGAGCAAAACAGGGAATTCTGGTATGATTCAAACATAACTGATGCTTGCTTATATATTTTCAACCTGGGACCGGAGATGCATTAGACTTAGTGTTCCCATTACTTCTAAAGGAACACAGTGTATGATGTTTTAATCCCTTTTCAACTTAATTGCATCCTGTTAGACCAGGATATGCTGAAATAGGGGTTGAGTCTCAGGAACTGTACATGTAGTGGAAGTGAGCAGGAAGCAAGCAGCAAAACACAGTGTGGGTTTTACTGGTCCTACTGATTTTGAGGGATTTAGGGAAGTCTTATTCACAACTGGAGGCAAGGATATCTGCCGATACATCATCTGCAGTTTCTGGGACCACAGCTGCATCTGGTAGCTATTCCAGGGGGGATTTTTCACTGCTGCTGTAGCATGTATTAGTAGAAGCTCTTGCATTTGGTAAGAATGATGTTGGGTGATACCTGCTTCTGAGGTGGAGCCAACTGCTTGCTTAAAAGAACAGAAAGCACATGTGCTAAGTTAACAGCAGAAGCTGCTTAGTCCCAGAATGTGTACAGGGTTTACAAATACTATCATGATTGTTCGCAAGTACTATAATGATTGTTTCTGGGACTCATTGCATCACTGTTGCGATCTATTGCCATCTACTATAAGGAACTCTTCATGAGGAAAGAGGATATTAAAAAAAAAAGGGGGGGGGGAGGAATCATTGAGGGAGGCAGGCAGGGAGCTTGGAAGGGGACTGCCAGAATCCAGTTTTCAGTTATCTGATTTATTACACATCAGGAAATCTCCTCTCTGTCCTTATGATAGTGATTCTGCATGACCCAGTGTCTTGGGTAGTATGCGTGGAGTAACAGTCCTTTATTGCAGTCTGGGAAAAAGGGAATGTATGTAATATTTTAAAACGGCTGATACTGGTTCCTGGTTGCAGGCTTTGTTGACCCAAGGCATCCCTTCATAACCACATTATTGCCTACTGGAGACTTCTGCAGAACAGAAGGGAATGGTCAGGAAGCAAAGATGATCTCCTTCAAGCAACTGCCCCTTGAAGCAAAGGCTGCAGTGGCTGCAGGAGTGGTTTTCTTCTCCATGATGCTATCGCGGAGTTATCTGGCAGAAAAACTCGATCTCAGGACGTGGCGTTGGCTTCTAAGGCTGCAGATGGCTCTATTTGCTAATGCACTCATGTTGATAGGATCTCTTCATGTCTGGAGAAGCACAGTCACCACATTCTCCAGGTCTTCAGCTGCCAGCTCCTTCTGTTTCATGCCGTGGAAAATAGCTGTGTTCATGTTCCTAGCTTTGGCTCATTCAAGCTTCTTTACATTGCTATTTCTCGTTGCGGAAGAGCCCTATTTCTTTTCTTTAGCTGCCTACACTTGCCTGGGGGCCTATATCATTCTTATCTTCTTCCTCTTCACTCTAGGCTCTGTAGAGCAGGCTTACAAGTTCTTGGCTGGGAGGGGCACTAAGGCAGGCACTGGCAACAAGAACAGAACAGCGATTAAACCAGTTTTGGCAGTCATGCTGACTGTTGCACTGACTGTTGTCGGGCTGTTAAATGCTTCCCAGCCTCCCACTGTGAATTCAGTGGAGGTTCCAGTTCACAAGCTGCCATCAACAATGAATAATCTGAAAGTGGTGTTGCTTTCAGATATCCATCTGGGGCCTACAGTTGGGAAGACCAAGCTTGCCATGATTGTGAGAATGGTTAAGGCTTTGAAACCAGATATCACTGTGATTGTTGGGGACCTGACTGACTCTGAGGCAGAGATCATACGACCTGCTGTTGAGCCTCTTGGAGAACTTAACTCCCCTTTGGGGACTTACTTTGTCACAGGAAACCATGAGTACTACACATCAGATGTTAGCAACTGGTTTGAGCTGTTAAAATCTTTTAACATTCGGCCACTCCATAACGAGAATGTGAAGATTGTTTCACCGAAGAGCACTGATGACTGGTTCTGCCTGGCTGGTGTTGATGATATTGAAGCAGATGTATTACGCTACTCAGGACATGGCATGGATTTAAAAAAAGCTCTCAGAGATTGTAGCAATGAGCATGCAATAGTGCTGTTAGCTCATCAGCCAATTGCTGCAAAGTGGGCCCTTCAGGAGAGACCAGACATAAACTTAATTCTCTCTGGCCATACTCATGGAGGGCAGATGTTCCCACTAAATGCTGGAGCTTATTTTCTGAATCCATTCTTTGTTGGGTTGTACGAAGTTGGGCAGAACACCTTTGTCTATGTCAGCCCAGGGACGATGTACTTTGGAATACCTATGAGGCTGGGCAGCAGAGCTGAAATAACAGAGATAATTCTACGTTCTCCTTGAGGAGTTTTCCATTTGACGGATTTCTGTCATCCTTTTTGGTCAGTATATTGGCTCTTCTGCTCTGAAAGCAAATCCTTTTTCAGGGAAGCCAGAGAAGATGTGTTGGGGTGGACTTCAGCAGGCTGTGTTAAGTTTGAGCAGAAAACACTAACTGTATCTTGGGCCTGTGAAACAAATCGGGGGCATGTTAAAATACTGAAGATATTAATTCTTTGAGTTCATTATTATTGAGGTTCTGCATTTAAAGATAACACTGATGTCATGGAGATACTGTGTGTCCTGTGCATGTTTAGTAATATCTGTGTCCTGCGGCTACTTCATGTTCCACTGTTTATTATCCATCAGGCAACTGCCTTATCAAATCTCAGATAGGTGAAGTTCTGATCTCTTGCAGTGAAATTGCTCATGCATGTTTTGTGGAAGGTACTACAGAGTGTCCACTGAGTATGTAAACTCTAGAAGCCTTATGCTAGAAATGTTACAGGAAGCAAGTAGTTTTGGTTGTTTGTTTTTTTTTTTAATTGAGGCTGGGTATCTTTATCCTGCTTGCTGTCCGCAGCATGCACTAGGGCTTCCAGTCTGTGCTGCTTACCAGTACAGTAAGTTGCCAGGCATCAGTTCCTGAAATTCATTTTTTTCCAGTTAAAAAGCTGGGGAGGCTGATACCAAGGGGTAAAAGTAGCTGTCTTTCTACAGGCATTTTCCCCAGAATAACTGGGCATCTAGTAGTTACTGAAAACAGTTCTAATAAAAGCAAATGAGAAAGAAAACTCCTAACGAACATAACTTCTGTTGCTGTCTGAGCATACAGTACCTCCTGATGTAAAGCACAAAATCCAAAGCTGAAATACTCAACCCTCTTAATTCTGTATTTTTTTTGTTTATGCTTAATTTCTCTTCTGTGATTTTTCTCTTACAAAAGTAAGGAGATGCTATTTGAAAACAATGCGTATAGGTTAATGCTTGAACTTTAAGGTTTTAATATTTCAAGTAAGTGGTGTCTTTTTTAAAAAGTCTAAACTCTGCAGCAGGTGTCTTTCTTTAACAGCATTTGCGTATCAGTGTCCTGGTTGTCTGATAGGCACGTGGCAGAATAACTGCTACAGGATAATGAGGGATGGAGAATTTCTCTCCCTTTCCTAGAAGGGCTTAACACAAATTAATACCATTCTGGGAAATTTGAGAGTTTAGAAAATAATAATGAAAACATTCTTGCTTCCATATCTTTGTGTTAATATAAGAAAGCCAGGATGTAAGTTAATGTGTGTATATTTTCCAGGCTGGTGAAACAGTTTACTTCTGTTCATCGTCCTCTCTCCTTCCTCTTCCACCTCAGTGTTGCTGTATGAAATGCCACAAACAATGCAAGTCTGGCAGTCCTGCCTCTGACTCTGCAGTCTGCAGCTGTAGCCACAGGGTTTCCCTTGCTCTGCCTTTCTGCCCACCAGTAGCTGCGTTCCTCTTGGGCAGACCCGTGTAGTATGGGGCAAAAGAGATCAGCACTTGCGCGGGAGACAGGATAGCAAGACCAGAACTGTGGTGTTCTGTCTTTTTCTGCCTTCCTGTGTGATCCCGAACCAGACATGCTTCTGTTTTATTCTTCAGCTTCTGTTCTTGTTTTGCATTGTGGGGCTGTATTTGAAGACTACTATAGGCTTTGTAAAGTTGATTTTTTTTCTGTAAGTGAAATTTTAAAGTTTCACTTCATCCACTCCCTTCAGCACCCCCTAGGCAGAGTTTCTAACTGCTGAACTGGTTTTGTATCCTGTTCCTCTGTACAAACATCTTGCATTTTTACTCAGAGGAATTTTGAGAAATACTGTAAATGTGTCGTGCACTGGAAGGTTGGTGGAAGAGTTGCAGAAGTCAGTCCTTTTTTAGTCTGAAAACTGAACACCTGATCAGCCAGGCTTTCTACTTGCCCGACTAGATAATTTCTGTTTCCCAGCACCTATGATTTTGTAAACTTTTTTATGCTTGTGCAATAATATCTGCTTAAGTATCCTGAAGTTTCCACGTATATTTAACACTGCCCACATGGGGTCCTTCTGAGGTTCTTCCCCTGTCAGTGGCATAGTATCAAATGGTCTTTTGTAGAGGGAATCTTGATAGCCTGTAACTCTCTGTTTACTTATCAACATGCTTTCAGTTAAAAGCTGTGTTCTGGATTTAGTGGTGCAGAGTATTCCCTCTAGGACAGTGGTCCAGGAGGATAGCTTTTCATCTGTTAAGCTGAGGGTTATTACTGTGTTAAGAAGACTAATTGTTGAGCAACTTTCCTTACCAGCAGGCTTTTGTGGAACTGGTTTTAGGTGGTGTTAGTTTCCCAGTGAGTTGCTAGCATTATTTTTTTCTTTTTTTCCCTACTCTTTTTATTTCTCTCTTCATTCTGTCCAAATGTGTGCAAAAACCTAGCTGAAGTGGTCTGTCCGTCCCAGGGGTGCATAGATGACTTTATTACTTTGTATGTGCCACTTCTGGAAGATCTTTGTGTATCCTTCCAGGGGCAGATAAACATCCTTTTAGGAGTGGTCATATCATTTCATAAACTTACTGAGTTCTCCCAGTGTAATTTAGTTCTTGTTCATTTTTTTCAAGTATCTCCCTCTGAAAGCTTGTTTGCTTGATGATTAGTTATCACTTAAAATGTTTTCTTTCTGTGCCAAAACACTTTAAAGCCTCTTCCTGTTGTTTTTTTTTTTTTAAGTATGAATGGAAAGTATCCTACATCAACTTTCTTTTTGATAGTAAGAGGAATTAACCTTTTTAAAAATCTCTCTAGGACAGCAATCCCTAATTGTCCTTCAAGGCTTTTTCTGTACTTTTTCCAATTTGGCTTGAATGTGCATGATGTAGACCTGTGTTCAGTATTCCAGATGAAAAAAAAGGCTGTGCTGCTTATTTTGTAATTTTTTTTTTTTTTAAATTTGTGTGGGTGTGGGTGGGTGTAGAATATATTTGATCTGGAGAACTTAAGTAAATGAATATATATTTCTTCCTATAGAAGGCCAGTTCATGGGGGGGAAGTTAATCACTATCAGAATAATACCAGAACAGAATAGTGTCATCACTTTGTGAAAGTTATATTTATTACATTATATAATCAGTATAGAGTGGATTTGAAAATATGTAAATTGTGGTATAACAAATGCTTTAAATGTTGGGATTTAATAAAAATTTATTCGCTTATCAAGAAAGATGCCTCTAATGACCTTTTATTTTGTACTAATAGTTATTGTAGCAGTTCATGCTGAGCAGTTTTAACTTAACACACTAATTCTGTTTAACAACAAAAAGCTACTTACTACTTTTGGAAAAATCTTACACCCACACTGTTAAGTGAGGCATGGTGGAAAGTGGGAAAGGTAAGGCCCCTATTAAATTTGCCTGATGTCTACTAGAGGGACAAAGTGCAGGCTGAAGAGATGAGGATGTGATGCAGAGAGAAAAGGACTGCTGCAAGGGCAGAGAAAGGGTATTAAGAGAATTTTTTGGAAGGAGCAGAAGAAAATGAGTGGTTTGTGGTTCTCAATTTTCATACTTAAGCTTTGGGGTGTTCTGCATTTGAATAGTCTGTCTATGAGATGCTAGAAATCTTCACAGGTGGAGGCGTTCATTGAGGATTTGTATCCACATCTGTTTGCTTTCCAAATAAGAAAAAAACCCATTTTGTAAATTTGGAGAATGAGAGATTCTAGCCACTGTTAAATAGTTTTGTGTGCTGAAGCCATGATTTTTTTTCCTTTGTTGAAAAACATGCACGTTATAAAATGTTCAAAGAGCATTAAGGTTGCAAAAATAAGTTCGTACTTGATTTAAGAAAGGACAAATTCTTTAGTTCTTCCTGTTTCCATGTGAGTATGTTCTGAGCATGTAAGATGCAACATTATACCATTGCCTCTAAGGGTCTGAATTTTCAGCTGGGCATTGATAAGGTGTGGTATGAATGAACTGGCATCTTAAACTGCGTGCAGTTAGCTTGTGTCTGTTGAATCTACTTATCAAACTAGCAGACCCACTACCGCAGCTTCTAGGGAGATGCAGGGAATTCATTCCTTCATGTATTCACAACCATGAGTATACAATATTGACAGAGCCAGACATAAATTCATGACAAGAACTGTTTTGGTTTTGTTGCAAGCCCCCATCTGGGAGCTGTGGGTCGAGTCATGCACTGAGAATAAAAGAGTGTTGAGTAATTGATCACGAAGGGAAATCTGTTGACAATGGGCAATGAATGAGGTGAATCAGAGCAAAGTACTCTGGAAGCTTCCTCCCTCTCCTCTCCCCCATAATAATACTGTATCAGGAAGTGTATGTGTAAGGAAGGTGACATACAGTTATGGTCACAGCTTTAAAAGCATGGCTTCTAAATGGTAAGTGGTTCAATGATGATGACTTTCATAATTAATACCTTTTTTTCATTGTTTTATTGTTTTAAGAAAGTCTTGTTTCTTTGCCAAAGATGTCTGTCGCCCGAGGGTGGAGCTATGTAAACAGTTGATTTGATGCTCATCATCTCTCAACAGTTATCTGCTATAAATGGAGCAAGTGTCTTTTCCATAGGCCTCTTCATGTGGTTAGTCTAAATGAGGGTGCTGAAATCCTTTTTGAGGGAAACAACAGCAATTTATTTTGACTCTCCTTCTTTATTTCCAGGGATAATGGTCTTTTAATGTGCTTTTTTTCCTAATGCTTCTCTGTCTCTCTTTTTTTTTTTCTTTTTTTAAATAGTATTGCAGAATTGTGTTGCTGCACCTGGGTTCTGAGTTTCGTTTAGTCATGATCGTTTTGAAGCACTCAGCTCCACATTAATGCTGCGACTTGTCACAGTGCCCTAGAGTAAAAAAAATCTGAAGAATGTGAAACATCTGCTTGGTGTTAAGTGAATGGTTTCATTCAGGGATACACAAAGTACAATTCCATCCTAGTGCAGCATGCCCAGGAATCAAGATGCAGGTTATAAATTAAAGATCAGCAAAAAGTCACAGATATTTGAATTGAAAGGAAGTAAGCAGATGGTACATACCTGTGCATCCTCTGCAGTGGTAATATACTTGAGGTTTAACAGCCTGGAGTTACTACAACAGCATAATTTCCCAGGGAGAATCCCAACCTTTGAGTTACTTTTGTTCCAGAGCAGTTGGTTTGTATTTTTCAGGTCTGCAAGGTCCTGATTTTGTGGAGACCTGTCATGTCCATACCTTTGTTGAGTCAAGATTTATTTCAACTTTAATGGAACTCTTTGTTAAGTAATGTTAGGAATGTGTCCGTGTTTGTGGGATCAGGGTTTAAAAAGCTTCCCCTATGCCATACTTGGCAGTCCCTTGCAGTTCTTGTTTCTCTGTCAGCTCAGGGCTGTTATCTTCTCACATCTGTTGTATGTCCACCACACAGATAATTCCACTTGTTCACTGTTGGCAGAGTGTTTTGCATTGCTATGTGCATTTAAGACATTTTCCACAACTTTATTTTAGGTTTTCTGTGAAGAAATGCCTTTATCACAGTTGCAACACTCTGTAGTCTTCCTCCTCCTTGGAGTTTGTAGTCTTCAAATGTTTGTAAAGTGTTACCTCACTCAGTTGCTCTGTTTAATAACAGTCTAGGGATAGGCATGTCTACTCAGCAATTTTGTCCTCCAGTTTTCAGGAGGGTGTGTTTTTGCTTTGTACTCTCTTTAGTAGTTTGTACTCTTGTTTTTTTGGCCTGTGACACATTGCACAGGCTCCTTTTTGCTCTTGTTGCACTGAGAGTATGCTCTTGGTTGGCAGTTGTGTCCAGTTGTTGGCCAGGAGTCTCAGTATTTGCAGCTTTATGGTGCCTGCTGTATTTCACTTTTTCCATTCCTTTCTCTTTATTCTTTCTGTAGTTGTACACACTATTGGAACAAAATTGTTCACCAGTTAACCGAAAGAAGTGGTTTCATGGGAAGGTTCTTCAAAACTCTGTGGTCTGTTGGTTTCTACTTAACCTTTGGGCAGATTTCCTCCGATGGTGGATGGTTCTCATGTAGTGGGGGTCACCTGGGGTTATATGATGGTCTACATCTCTCTTGTCTTTCTAATTTCATCACTTTTGTTTCATGTAATCGATTTCCTAATTGCTAAGCCCTGTTCTTGATATGTGACAGGCCAAAGCCTGTCTTTTCAAGAACAAGGCCAGTGTCCTTTGACAGCTTTTAGTTTACACTGTTGAAAGGTGTGTTTCATTTGAACTAGTATAACGTCCAATGAATCATGAGGTTTGTTAGGTTGACTTCTGACTTATTTTCTGATAGGTATGGAGACCTAACTGATTACATATGCTGACTTGTGATTTTACTTCATAAATCCCTACTGATCTTTAATTGAAGGAAATTTTTTTTAATGTGCTCAGTAATGAATCTGATAAAACACAAATATAAATTCACAGAACATGAAGACAAACAACTAACTATTGAGTGGTGTGTGGAGGACAAAAGCAGTACTGGTGACAGGGATGCCAAAGATACATGAGAGGTGTAAGATGCGAGATGTTAAGGTTTGCTTAAAAAAAAAAAGAAATTTAAAGGTTCTTAAAGACATAGGGCCAGGCACTTAACAAAAGGTCTTCTGTTTTTCCTTGTTTTTCACAAGCAAAAGAAGTACCGCTGTTGGTCATAGTCGTATACATCTTACTAAGATCATAGGCTCACTTGAGGAGTAATCCTATGCTCTTGAAGTTAAGGTACTTTTCTTATGGCTAGGAAATGCAGATTCTTACTCTTAATTTACCTGCTTCTTTTTTAAGTTCACTGTTTTGGCTGTGCTTAGTTGGAAAAGTACTGAAAGTAGGACTTTCTCCAAAAATGACTAATTTTTAGTGACTTACATAAATGCATGCAGTTCACCAGACTGATCTATCAAACAGTTTTATACTTACTGGAAACTAAGCTTTCAAACATGTATGTATCAGTGTCCTGGAGCATTTAGAATGTGGTATTTGTTCTTCAAGAGCTCTCAGCTGGCTGTCGCTTCTATACTTGAGCGTGACATTAAGTTGGAATTAGGGTTGTGTTTTCTAGCAGTTTATTAGGTTGCAGCATTGAGTGCAAAGTGTTGGCATTCACCAAATCTCCCTTAATTCCCCATGATTTGCACTGGCGTGAGCAACTGCAAAATGTATCTAAAACTGTAGAAAGATGGTACTGTATATATACATACTCATTGAAAGTGGAGAATGCATGTGGCATATTTTGGTGTAGTAGTGAATCCTGTCATTGCTGAGTGGTTGGCAGGTGTATTGTAGTCCTTTGGTGTGTTAGGCTCAGGTGGGCTGTGTGTAGCTAGCTGAGGGCCATTCACCATCAGTTATTCTAACACCATTGTACCTTCTATTGTGGACAGTCCACAGATCTTGTATAGACTGTTTTCCATGTCTTTCAAGGCAGAAAAATGTTATATTGTGGATTTTTTGGTGTGTGTGTTTTTTTGTTTTTGTTTTTTTCTATACAGACTATACCCCAGAGGAGTTTTGGGATTGATTATAACTGTGATTGCTTTGTCAAGGATGGGAGACCTTTCCGTTACATCTCAGGTAGCATTCACTACTCACGCGTGCCCCGGTATTACTGGAAAGACCGCTTGTTGAAGATGAAGATGGCAGGACTTGATGCCATTCAAACGTAAGTAGCTGTAGACTTTCAAAGTGATTTGTAGTCCTGGGAGATGTATGAGAAGTAGCTGAGTGGAATGCTACCATTGTTACTTGGTTTATTAATTTTTAAGTAGTAGGTGAGAAAGCTCTGGAGAAGTGGAGTGGTATGGGATGACCTCTAACAGCATAGACTGGGACAATTGGGCAGGTTATAGCTAACAGTCTACTTCCCTGCTGATAGGCAACACCTTTTGCTTCACAACCCAGGGTGCAAATGTGACCTGAAATAAATTACAAAACAGTTGTATGTGCTTTGTCTCTGCCAAGGGCATTGTAATCTCTGGTCAAAAGGCAGACTAAGCGAGAGGGGACAATAACCTTTTAATACAGCCTAGGTTGTATTGGCCTGAAGCCTTGAAAATATTGGCAAAGGCTGCAGTAACATTTAAAGCTATTTCACCAGGAGTGTTTAAATGTAGAAAAATGGTTGGGAACTGGGTGTACTTCTTTAAAAAAAACAAACACAAAAAACCCCCCACCACTTAAACAGGTTTCAGTTGCACGTACCAAACCTTTAGTCCATCTTTCTTGTCTTTCCTACCTGGTTGTGTACTTATTACAACAGGTGAGGCACCGATTAAAAAAAAAATGCAGCTTACTCTTATTTTTGCTAAAGCTTCCTTGACAAGGGAAGAAGAGTGGTAGAAAACTGTAAGGCACAGTCTTCTCAAGCAATGGTTGTAATTCCCAAATGTGTTTGTTTTTTCTTTCCTAAATCATTACAAGGCTTAGAGCTTCTCTTTGAAACAGCCTGCTTGTGTGCCAGACAGCATTGGTTCTGGCCATGCAGAGCCTGTAGGCCAGGGCACTTTGCTCAGTGGGTGTGTTGCACCATTTCTCCTTCCTCTCCTTTGAAATCTGTATTTTGTTTGACCTGCAAGTTGCAGGGCTGCCTTGTACACTTGGGCACTTGGAGATGTGATTAGTAGGGGTTCGTATGTGAAGAACACATGGCAGGGAAAGAAAAGAAGTTTGCTTTTTTCCAAATTTAGGGCGCCCTATTTTTTTTTTTTTTTTTTTTTTAAGTCTTAAAACTGTTCCCTGGGTTGTGACGATGTAGTGACTTGTTGTTTGGTGGATGGTTTTTGTTGTATTCTAATAAAGTAATTAAGTTCTATCTTCCCTCACATCACATAAGAACAACAGGATTAAGTAACACACTTGCTCAGGACAGAGTTACTTTCATTGCAGCAAAAAAAATAATTACATGGGCAATTCCAGTAATCTCAAATGGACCTGAAAATTATACCTTTTGATGTCTGGCTTGAAGATCAGCCTAGGTCCTGACAGTGGCTCTGTGACTCCTACAAGCCGTAGTGTCTCATACTTCCCTTAGGTCTCTTATTTTCCTCCTCCTTCCAACACCCATATATCTTCAGTGCCCTCTGTGCATTTCCAGCTTTTTCAACCAGTCCCTTCCTTTTCTCTTTGAAATTGCCTGTTCGTGTCTCTGCTGCATCACTGGTCTTTTGAGATAGGAATCTTTTCTTTTCCATCCCCCCCCGCTGCTGTTTAATGGCAAAATTGCTGCAGGGCTGTTTTTTTTGTTTGTATTTATTTTTTTCCTGTGGCTTCCTCCTTCCTTTGTAATCTCCTGCTAACAA